TAACATAAATGCCATACTCAGAAGCAATAATCAAGAACTATCCACACAGAACCCTCAATAGCCAACTAAGTTTAAAAAGTATGAAAAATATTTAAAATAAAATTTAATAAAAAGACAGTAGATTTTGAGACTTCTAGCAGGGTTATGCCAACCAAGGTCTCAGGCCCTCCTTTTTTTTTTGTACATATACAAAAGGAGTGAAAGGGAAGAAGGGAGAAAAAAAGGATTCTAAAAGTTCATTAACGCTAGAAATCGATGGGTTGCCTATCATGATAATACTATGGTTGCTGGGCAACCATATGTAATATTTACTATAGATAAAATTGAATTGTGATGAAAATCAAAAGACAACTGGGGTACCAAAACCTGATTGAAAGGTTTCACTTTAAAAAAGAATAGTGTCTGCTTAACTGTATGTTAAGAGTGTACACGCATTAACAGTTCATTTTCAAGTGATCCATGCCTGAACTGAAAATGCAGGTTCTATATGCTTTGATTTGTATGCGGGTGAAACACAGTTCTGAGCCGAAGTGAAGAAAGACATATTGCGATTCTTCATGTGTTATGTTATGGATCTTGGACTCTAACCCAAGTTTCTTTTTTCCAATGAACTCCAATGTATTTATTTATTTGTTTGTTTCTTTATAACCCACTTTTATTATTTTTACAAATAACTCGAAGTGGCAAACATATACCATATTTCCCTGAAAATAAGACCCTGTCTTATATTTTTTTGAACCCTGAAATAAGCGCTTGGCCTTATTGCCATGCGCTCAAAAATCTGATTGGGCTTATTATCAGGGGATGTCTTATTTTGGGGGGGGGGAAACAGGGTATATTCAAACACACCTTCTTTCTCCTATTTTCCCCACAACGACGACCGTCTGAGGTGAGTTGGACTGTGAGAGAGAGACTGGCCCAAGGTCACCCAGCTGGCTTTCATGGCTATTTTCAGAGATTTCAACTTGTTTTTTGAGTCATGACTTGTTTCAACAAAGGCTTATCATTATATTTTCCCCTGGCCTATTTCTGGTTTTTGTGCTCAACCTGTTTCTTGTGGTACTAACAAAGGAAATGAAGAAAGCGAACAAGAAATCGATTGAAAAAGCTGTGTTTACGTTGCTCATCTGCAAAACTCAATAAATATTTATGGACAATATTTATTGTTCAATAAATATAAATAAATAAAATCAATCTCAGCTTAGCATTATGAACAAATATAGCCAAACAGAGCTATGTACATTTTTGTTTAGGAGTTCCCAAACTGCAAAAATAAAACAAAACAAAATTATAGCATCAAGATGACGGCGTAAGGCAGAATCAGTCCCCCTCCTTGTACGGCCATATTTTATAAAAGACCACACTGATGAATCAAATGAAATTATTTCCAGCTTTAAATCATTACTAGATTTCTGAGCCCTTGCCACACCATACTTTTGAAAAATAGTAAATTAATTTCCAAATAAAGGAAATAAAAAGGATAAATTGCTTCAGAATGGCTTTCTTTCAGTTTTTCTTTCAGTAATAATACGGGAAAAATGAAGGGATCTTCAGTACAAATAAGAGTTTGTCATTGGACCTTTGTTTTGAAATACTTCTATTATATTTGCAAATCATATTTCAAAGGGAAAAACACATCTGCAAATACTAAGGGATATGTAGTAGTCATATGTTAGTGGTCATTATCTTCCTGTCATTTCAATAATTTTTTGTCCTTGACATGCACAGACTTATACAAACTTATAGCTATTCATCTCCAATACATGATAAATCCATGATACATGAAAGGATACACTGGAAATACATCTGCTAGATACAGCAACCTAATTATTTGTTAACAGGATCTTACAGGAGAGCATCATGACTCTAAGCATAGCATATTATTGATACATATATATTTAAAGAAGGGAAAGGACACACAGGCCCTTTAGATTAATTCAAAAGCTATCTCTAAGAGCTCAGTTCAGACAGATAAGAGATACTATCGCTTTCCCTGAAGTCTGCTGCCTGGGAGGGAGGGAGAAAGTGTCCATAAGAAATACAACACTTGCTTCAATATTGCTTAAATGCAATCTCCACAATTTCAATTACCCCTGAGGAAATACAGCCCTTAATAAATTAAAAAGATTGCCCATCTCTTCCTTAAAGACTTCTTATTAACATTATTATGGAATTAGCATCTCTAGGGACCTATATCTACACAAGTTTATGTCACACTAGGTTTATTATCCTTTGGGGTGGTGGAAGAGTCTTGACTATAATAACCGCAATACAGACTCGTTGTATGGTCCTACGGAGGCCTTTAAAAAGGGTCTGGGCAACTATCTATTTGGTTTGCCATAACTGTGAATTAATGCATCAAGTAAGGGATTAGATTAGATCTCTTCCAACATTGTGGATAATTTCATACAATGTGTGCAAAAAAGAAATATTACGCCTTCAACATTTTACATGAGCCAGGTTTACTAGTATATGGAATATCTTTTTAATGCTACATTTTTTACCTCTAGTGATAAACACTGGGTACTAGGTACTTCCATAATTGAGCCAGGAAAGAAAAACAACAACCATACAACCACCTCAGAATAATTCATATTTAAAAGTAAGTCATTCAGCAACAGTTATCAACATCTATCCCATTTTCTTTACTTTGTTCCTAAAGTCCCTGTTCCCTGGCCAATCTTCCTCTTCAGTCTTTCATTTAACATTATAAGTCATAACACACATATAACGAAGTATTAAAAAGGAAAAATATTACAACAGGAGTGTGAAGTGAAAAGAAACAAACTTCAGATAGCTAATTAAAATTATTCAGTTCAAATATCAAAATCTGCTGCCGATTATATAGAATGGCGCAGAAAGACTGAAAATGGTAACTAACTAATCCAGCAATGATAAAATATAGTTAATGTCGATAACAAAATAGCCAATCTATGAAAATGTTGAAGTGTGCTGCTCTAATACCTTCTTTATCACCAGCCCCCAAAAATGGATCCTAATAAAAGGTTCACCAGACAATTTTAAGCAAGAAATTGTTTCAAATTTGGACAAACAGGTCATCTAGATCTCTTTAATTTGGTGGCAATTGTTCTGATCCTCTATAGAGGTCTTTACCTTGCTCTGACCACCTATATGGAAAGTATCTCTTTGCATTCCACAAGGAACTTCAGAGCCTTACAAATATAGCATAACATCAGCTGTTCCACCTTGCAAGCTATCCAGATTGATGGATGCTAATTCAGGAGTAAGTTTCACTGATTTCAATGGATATGTACAGATAGCAGCTTACAGAATTGCTTTGTCATTTCACTTTTACATAATAATAACTGAATTATGCATCTCATTACAAAACCTGATACACTCACATATGGGCATCTTTTCAGGTTAAGTGTTAATTAAGCACTTCAGCTAAGCACGCACAGAGACAATTCCTTTGCACTCCATCGATTTATGTCTATCTGTTTAATGACAGTTCAAAGTTACGACTTTGGAAAAAGTCATGTATGACCTGTACTTGCATGATAACCATTGCACCAGCCCCGCAGTCATATGATCACAATATGGTGCTTGGCAAAGGGCTCGCATCTATGACAGGCTGCAGCATCAGCAGCATCAGGTGACAATAATTTGCAACTTCTGCCAAGTTCTAGCAAAAAACGGCCACACGGGAAGCTGGATTCACTTAAGAACCATGGCGATTTGTGTAACAACCGCCATAAAAATTGTTGTAAAACCAGGTCTGACTTGACCTATGACCAGAACGACTTATGGAAATTCCAGTCCGAATTGTGGTCATAAATTTTATTTTTTATATACAGATAGTCCTCGACTTACGACTGAAATTGAGCCCAACATTTCTGTAGCTAAGTGAAACATTTGTTAAGTGAATTTTGCCCCATTTTACGACCTTTCCGGCCACAGTTGTTAAATGAATCACGACAGTTGTTAAATTAGTACCGTGGTTGTTAAGTGAATCTGGCTTCCCCATTGACTTTGCTTGTAAGAAGGTCGCAAAAGGGGATCATGACCCTGGGACACTGCAACACTGCAATAAATCTGAACCAGTTGCCAAGCATCTGAATTTTGATCACATGACCATGGGGATGCTGCAATGGTGGCAAATGTGAAAAATGGTCATAAGTCACTTTTTTCAGTGGCGTTGTAACATTGAATGGTCACTAAATGAACTGTTACAAGTCAAGGTCTACCTGTACATATCGCAGTGTGAATCTCAGTGTACTACTTGTCCATCTGAAGCCATTTAATGGCAAAGATTATTTCCATGGCTAGTACAGACCTTCACTCATACACCCAGAATGTAAACAAGGCTTATTTATTTGTGTCTCCATTTGAAAATAAATGTGTTCATCCAGGAGCAAATGTCAATTTATTTTTCTTAAACTATTAAAATACTGCTTTTAAAAGTAAATAGGCTAATATTTAAAGGATTATGCCAAAGTGCATCTTTGTACAGATTATATGCCTAGGTGCTTTTATTTTTTTTATTCTGTTTTTCTCCTTGTGTTTTTTAAATATATAGTATGCTATTATAAAAGGAAAATTTAATAAATGTTGCTATGGAACAATATGCACTTTTTTAAAATAGGTTTAAAGACATTCTAAGCTTTTCCTGAGAAATAAATATATGTTTGGGGGGGGGGGGGGAACCAAGAAATGTTATTAAATCATACTACGCTATCAGATTATATTATCTAGATATCAGGTATAAAGTTTCCTCCCTCTATATTTTGTGATTACTTCTGGATGTGGCATACAAGAAGAGAGAAAATACCAGCAAAACGCCAGGCATACCAGGCAAATTTCATTACTTCAGGGCTCTTGCACTTGCTCATAACTTGGATTTACACACTGCAAATCTTCCGATCTGATTACCCCCAGTGATCACATAAGACGCTGGCTTTAAACTCTTTGCCTCGGTGATAAAACAGCCACTTTGATTCATAATGATATATTAACAGCAAAGTATACTGTAAACTTACCTGTCCACAGCCGGGGGCACTGCACACAAACGGCCTGTCGTCTCCCATATTTTTCTACAGTTGAGCTACAAATGGGGGGAAAAAGGGGATGGAGGAAAGAGAAAAAAATAATAATTAAGTTAGCTAAAGATGAAATTTGAGCCGAAATGCTATTGCGTAGCAGCACTTTTTAGGAGTATCAATATCAATGACATGTTTGAACAGACCAAAATTGGCGCAAGGTTGTGGGGACGAGGAATGAGAATTCTGGGGGGGAATAGACAAATATTGAGCAGCAAGGTCTGCCTGTCAGTCTGCCTGCCTCCCAGTTTGGGCCAGAAGTACATCTAGGAAAATGTGCAACAAGCAGTGGGACGTAAGCCACACACACACACACACTGCACTAATACAACTGTTATTCAGAGTCACTGAATCATAGAGTTGGAAGGGGCCAAGGAGGTCCCCGATTCCAATCCCCTGCTCAGTATTGTATAGGAATTCTAATTAAAGCATTCCAGACAGATGACTGCCCAGTTTCCTGAGTTCATCCAGTCAAAGGCCGCCCAGCATCTCTCTGAGAAATTGTCTCTCTGTTCCAGTGTTTTTACCGTTGGGAAGTTTTTTCTTAACATTTTAGCTATCACCAATAGTGAAGCAGCAGAAAAACTCAGATCCTTGAAAAACATCTGGACCACAGATACTATCTACATCCTGGCATTTCAAACAATCTACGCATTCCCTCCTCCTTCCAGAGTCGGAACATGTTTAGGAATCACAGAAAGATTCAGTATTTCAAAAAATAGACATATTGTAAAATTTAGCAAAATCTCAGTTCTGTTTTATGCTACTCTCAGGTTGCTTTTGCAGCCCTTAATCTTCAATTCTGGCCACAGAATGAAGATAGCTGGATTATGAAATACCATGCATTACTTATTATCCTTCTGAAGGTAGTCACTTTTGGTTTTTTGTGATCACCACAACACAGATAAGCAAACATATTTATAAAGTGATTGTGCAATGTACAACAATCTATCTCCAAGCTGTGGAGAGATAAATTCAATTCTTCTCAACGTGAAACCAATATTTTTAATATGAGAGAACTACAAATCTGTAATTAGTCACAGGATTGTAGGAATGAAGCTCCATTTTCTCAAGGCAATAATCTAGCTCCCTGATGGTAAAATTGCAAGAGCGATGACAAAAATGACTGTAAAAGAATTTAAAACATCAGTCCTGTTATACAACAGGTGAAACTATTCTTATTAACAAAAAGTGCAAACAAAAGAAGCCTCCACTATGTAAATTTTAGAAATGATCACTTCTCCGTCCCACCCAGCTTTTTAATAGTGAAACTTAAACAATTACAGTATAATAAAATTGCTATTATTTCTTCAGAGAAATTGCTATTGCATACAGTTCTTGATTTACAAATGGTTTGAAGTGACCATTTGAAGTTACAATGGCACTGAAAAAAGTGACTTGCAACCAGTCCTTGCACTTAGGGGAATCATAGCATTCCCACGGCCACATGATCACAATTCTGGCACTTGACAATCGGCATGTATTTACGATTGTTGCAATATCCTAGGGCAGTGTGATCACTATCTGTGATCTTCCCACCTGGTTTCCAACAAACAAAATGGATTAACTTAATGACTGCATGATTCATTTAGCAACTGTGTGATTTGTTTAACAGGCATAGCAAAAAAAAAAAAAAAGATTATAAAATTGGGCGCAACTCACTTGCCTAGTAACAGAAGTTCTGGTCCCAATTGTGGTTTTAAATCGAGGATTGCCTGTAGTTAACAGAGAGTCAGTTTGGTATATACACCAGGCTAGAAATTAGGAGAACTTGAGTTCTAATCCTACCTTAAGGGCAAAGCCAGCAGGGTGACCTTGGGAAGTCACTTTCTCTCAGCCCTAGGAAGGAGACAGTGGCACACCACTGAAACCACTTCTGAAAATCGCTTAACGTAATTGGATTCGCTGCATAAGTCACATAAGTTACAGTGATTCATTTAACAACTCATTAATTTAACATTTAATAACTGTGGCAAAAAAGTTGTAAAATAACAACTTTTTGCTTTTTGCTTAGCAACAAAAATTCTCATCCCAACTGTGGTCATAAATTGAAAACTACCTATACCCATGATGGTGAACCTATGGCACACGTGCCACAGGTGGCACGCAGAGCCCTCTCTGCGGGCATGCAAGCCGTTGCCCCAGCTCGGCTCCCGCTGGCCAACTGGTTTTCAGGTCTCTGCCACACATGCATGGGGGACGGGGCGCATATGGGAGATGTGCGTGCATGTGCAGGTGTCGCACGCACGTGGTCGCAAATGCATGCAGAGGGGGAAGGACGCATGTGGTGGTCATGTGTGCATGAGAGGGGGTCATGCGTGCATGCACAGGGGTGTGTGGCACGTGTCGGGGGTTGTGCATGCATGTGCGGGGATGGAGTGCACACGGTGGTCATGTATGCATATGTGGGGCGGACGCGCGCATTGCATTATGGGTGTGTGCGCACACGCACGTTTTTGGCACTGTGCCGAAAAGGTTAGCCATCACTGACCTATATTGTAACTGTTTATGAAATTTCCATATATTTTCCTAAATTAAGGGGTTAATTTGTTGGAAATGGTTGATTGCTGAATCTGAATCCTGTAAATACTGTTTGTAAACATCTTCCCCCGTTGCACAGGCTACTATTTTCAACAAGTGCATTTTTAAATGCACCTGGCTAATGCACATTATTTTTTGCATCTGAGAGTAAATATACAACTGCATCTGCCTGCAAACTTGTTTTTTGTAAAGTTCATGCTGACTGCATCAGATGATTATTCCTCCAAAACACAGATCTGACAAAAAGAAATCATGGGTGGAGTGATCTGTATTACTGTAATAATATTAGTTTTTTAAGCAATCTGTGATGTTCAATGTACATTGCAAAGTAGGATTAATTGCAGATTTGAGATTTTTTTAAAACAAATTATTGCTCAGACTACTGAAGATGAGAAATGTATCACAATGCATAACTGAACTTTTTACCACTGGCAAATAATCTGAAATTTGTCTTTACATATTTTAATATGTGTGCTATATTTATAACTTTAAAATGTCTTCTTGTGAATTTTGAAGAATTATATTTCATTACTATTTTATATTATTTTAATATACTTTGATTATGTGCCATCAAGTCAGTGCTGACCTTTAGTAACCACATACACAGACCTTTTCCAGGAAAATTTAATATACTTACTGGTCATTTATTATAGATGTACTCTTTAGGTTTTACATGCATTGCATTTTTAATTCTGACTGAAATTTCCCAAACCTCTAACAGACACAAAACACATTTTGTTATTTAGCCTCAAAATTAATTTCATACATAAAAAATTAAAATCCGCTATTTATTCCCTAGTATATTGGGAAAATAGTTTCAACTCCTAATCCTTTTCATCATGGAACTCAAACACATATTCTTTGCACTGAATGGAACTCCAACAGATTTGCACCAAGAATTCTCAAAATATGAAATAGCATCTTCTAAAACAGCTTTCCATTATGTGTTCTGACTATGTCTCCCGAATTTTCTAACACACTGGCTATCACACTGAAAATGCTAGGCTAGAAAGATATGTATGATAGTTGTAGACTCTAATTTTTTTTCCTGTCAAGTGCTTTGCTTAATCCACGATTTAAAGTAAGGACAATATTTATTGGGATGTTTATCCTATCCAATTTCTTGCTTTCTCACATGTTCAGCAAGTTGCATGCATACATTAGTGAAAACAAAAAGCTATATTATTACTGTTATTTTAAATTGTTCAGCACTGCAACTTTCAATATAAAGGAGGAATTAATTAAAGGTTTTCTGATATGAGGCCATGCTAAAGTTGTTATTAAAATAAATAGCTAAAAATTAAAACTGAAGGATTTGCAAACCCCCACCTCTTTTAAAAAATGGTGTATACTTGGTTTCACTTGGTTTTTGAAGTCTTCAGGGCTCTTCACTATTTCCAGATCAAACGGGAAAGCATATGCCCAATTTAAAGAGGGACAAATCAGGGAGACTTATGACCACAACTGAGCCCAAAATTTATGTTGTGAAACATTTGTTAAGTGAGTTTGCCCCATTGTGTGACTTTTCTTTGTGGTTAAGTAAATCATTGCAGTTGTTAAGTTAGTAAGATGGTTGTTAAGTGAATCTGTCTTCCCCATTGACTTTGCTTGTCAGGTCACAAAAGATGATCACGTGACCCTAGGACATTGCAACTGTCATAAATATGAGCCAGTTGCCAAGCATCTGAATTTTGAACATGTGACCAGGGGATGCTGCAAGAGTCATAAGGGTGGAAAACGGTAGTAAGTTATTTTTTTCAGTGCCGTTGTAACTTAGAATGGTCACTAAATGAATTGCTGTAAATTGAGGACTACCTGTACTTCTGTATCAGGATTTGTATAATAAGAATAGCCTCCAGGTCATATTCTTACAATGTTACATTTCAGATTGCAACCTTTGAAATAGTAAGCTGAATAGTAGGAAGGGTACCATCCAGATGCTTGAACACAAAGTCCACAGAATATCAGAACTGGACTATTATCTCAGCCCGCTATTTCAAAAGTCTCCTGAAACCACCACCCCCCAGCTTTAACTGCCCTCCTAATATGCCAGTAGGATTTCTGAGAAATTCTGCGAAGATGTCCACTTTACAAAAAGCTCCATTTCCGTGCACAGCAGCAAAGGTTCAGTTAGTGTGTGTTTGTGCTGTAAGGTATCTGCAAAGGGCAGCAGCTGGTGCCCTGCTTTAAATATAGCTCCTAAATCCACACTCTCCACAGTTACCATACAGTACAACAGTCAGACCTAAAGCAAAATATATTCCCCTCTGATAAAAAATTCACACCTGGGCTGCATGGTGCAAGATACCCCTTATATTTTTTTAAAAAAAACCTTCCTTACATTGTGATTTTAAGTGCTTTTTATTTTAGACTTTCTCCAAAAGACCCAAATTGCAAATATAGCCCATACTTCCCAATCATTTTTTTCTGAGAGATCAATCCCATGGAGGAGGAGATGCTGGCAACTCGCCACTAACCCAGTTGAAGTTAAAAGGGAAGTAACATTCAAATCTGGATTTTCCCAACCAGAGTCTAGCACTGTATTGCTATAGCACATTGTTGTGAATATTAGGAGAAGTCTACCTCACCAGTTTCACAAACAGGAAACTGTACATTATTTCATCATGTGGGAGTATTATAGCTCTATACTGAGGAAGTAGAAATGTAAAACTAAGCAGAAAAGACTGTTAGCTTGTTCGGAGGAGGTAAGACATATGTTAAGGTAGCTCCTTGGAATATTTACAGAGATCACAAATTGCACCTTGACAGTAACATACTAGAATATATATTTGATTCAGGAAACTTCATTTGACTATTAAAAGTTCTTTAAAAGCTGCAAAATTATCCTGAAGCTCAATAAAAACCGAAGGCAAAAATAAGGCATGAATTTTGGAATAGTAGTGTATCTACTATATCTTCAGTAATTGTATTTTATTTTTCATCCAATGGATTTTAGAATCCCCTTTCCTTCTACATTCCTTTTGCTCTCATACACTTTTATGATAACAGCAATACCATTTGTACAATGCAGGTATTGTGCTACACTGCCCTTTCCTTTCATATGCTGCAATTTTAATTGGGTTTTCTTATAACTGTTTGAGTCTCCTTTCAAGTGCATAAGCTTCTACTCAGAGAGTCAAAACCTCTAATGTTAGCACGATTCTTTAAAGCAAGGGCCAAGAAAAAATCAAATTCCTTTTACTTCTTTATACAAAAAACAGTGGGCTTCTACAGTGAAGCTAAAGTGAAAAGACTTGTATCACATGCACCAATAGCATCTGTCTTTACACCAACATTGTATTTAAATATGAAGCAGGGGATCTAACATATTTAGAGCCCACCAGCTGAAAGTAGTTTGAATGGCTCCATATTTTAAGCTTTATTTTAAAGACAAGATACAAAACCATCCTTTTTTTGGCTCATGCTGTAATTTTCAGCAAAATGAAGCAAAGAACAGTGTATTGAATGTACTGTGGTGCTTTTTCAACAGTAGAGATAGGATAGTAGACTATAGACTTGCTGCAGAGGAAAAGCTAGAAGATCCTGAACATATTTCAGGTGGAGAACATAATTCCATGTTACCCCTTTTAGGTAGTTCACACAAGAAGCACAACTATGAACACCAATTCTATCTTTATTATAAAGCTATATTAACAAAATCTTGCAGGACTGAAATTATTTATCCTCTTCTTTCCTTTTGCTCTCTGGAAAACTAGGGAGTTTCCCCTTCTTGGAACATTTCTCATGTGTCTTGCCTCTCCTTCTGTAGAATGAGATTATTATTATTAGTATTTATTAAATTTATTTGCCCCTTATCTTGCCACAAGGTGACTCTGGGAGGCTTATAAAGTTAAGAAAAATAATACAAATACAGATATAGCAATAAAATCTTAAGTTATGGTAAAAAGATGGGGAGGGAGGGAACAAGGTGTGCAGGGGGTGAGATATCTTTTACATGACAGTTGTCCACTTTGTGGCTACAGTTTATAAATTGTTAATAAAGTGGGAGTTGATGAATAGGGAGGAAATGACAAGTGAGAGGCTGTTCCTATGAACTGCCATTCCCTCTACTGTTTGAAAATGATGAAGTGGAAAGTTTGGCAGTGAATGGATCAAGTAAATATTCCCCAGGGGCATCTGTGTTGGACAGGCTGCTTGGAGAAATGATCCTTGAAATACCTTGCAGCCAAGTCATGTAGGACTTTAAAGGTCCAAACCAGCACTTTGAAATGCATTTGGAAGCCAGTAAGTATCCAATGCAAGACTTGAACACAAGTATAATGTGTTTATACTGGGCTAGCACATTCTGGTCTAATTGAAGCTTCCAGATGATTTACAAAGGCAGAGCCATGTAGATCACATTGCATTGATCCCAAGCAAGTGGCGATGAGAGCATGAATCATCATTGTTGCAAAGTCCTAACATTTGCAATACGGCTACAACTGGTACACTAGTTAAAGCGGAGCAAAGGCCTCTGGGCTATGGCTTCCATCTATCCATCTAGAAGTAGCTGTTGAAATCAGGACTACCCCGCACTGTGATCCTGTTTCTTCAAACCTCCCAGCCACCAGACAATGGATCAAGATGCTGAGAGCATGCCTTATGTGGTACGGGAAAACAATGTACAGCTCAGTATCATTAACATATTGTAAACCAACGTATGACCTCCTGCAGCTTCATGTGGTTATTAAAAACCTGGGGAGAGAAAACTAATTTCTGCAACATTTCAGAGAACCTGCCTTACTTCTCTCCTGTCCGTTGACTAGAACTCTCTAGGAACACAACAGAACTTTAAAACAGTTCTCTGCATGTAGTCCAGAAGGATACCATGATGGATAATATCAAAAACTTCTGAGATGCCCAAAAGTACAAGAAGGGAAATCAAGGTCATCTATAGGAACAACCAATCATATCTTAGTTCCATGCCCAGACCTACATCCTGGTTGAAAAGAGTCAAAACCGTCGGATTCCTTTAGGGTGCTCCATAGTTGAATATTGACTATAGTCTCAATAGCCTTTCTCCAGAAGAGCAGTTTAAAGCCTGGGCAATACTTACCAAATACAGATAGATCTGAGGAAAGCCTCTGAAAGAATGGGTGCATCACAGCCTCTTTTAAGACTACTGGTATCAGTCTCCTGATATCAGGCACTAATTCAAGAACACAAGTGACCAGAGACAACCAAAAGAACACTCTATTTATTTCATTTTGTTAAAGTTCACAGGCCAGAAGCAGTCCTAGATCACGTGGTCACAGACGCTCCCTAGCTATCACAATGGACTCAAGATTTTTGTAAATCTGAGAATTTATAAGCAAATTGCTGTTCCAACTGTTCCTAATGGCTGGGTGGGAGATCTACCACTTTTTTTGGCATACTGCACTCTTATCTCTGTCATCTTTCTAGGAAGTTAGCAACTGGTACCATGTCAGCAGTCAATAGGTGACTTATTCAAGGACTTGAATGGGGCATGGATTAGGGCTTAGATAATTAGCTGAAAGTACCATAACCAATAACAAAAGACAGTGGTTGGTCTTAGTAGTGAGGCCCATCTTAGAAATCTTTCTTTTTTTCTTCTTTAGAAATATTCTAGTGATAAAATTGAAGAAGAGGCTGATAGAAGATTGTCTATGGAGGATGGTAAGTTGTAGCTCCTTGTCAAAGCTCATTCCAAAGGAAACAGGACTGGGAAGGAAGCTGATTTTTGTGGGGTTCACTCCTTTTTGTTACGGTATTTACAAAAACTCATGTACATGTGGGTGGTATAAGCTGTTTGGATGTTAAGATACTCTGTATGGTTTTTGGTATGGTATTAAAGGCTAATAAGGTGGCCCCACCCAATCTTCAGGTGAGTAGGTATAACTAACTGCAATCTAAATGATATTATTTATTTATTTATTTATTCAACTTCTACATCCACCCATCTCAAGCAAGTGTCTCTGGGCAGCAAAAAATAATAAAACATTTAAAAACAATTCCAATACAATACCCTTGCAATTTGATTCAGTTGGGAAGCCTCAAAATGGGAGTTCCTGGTCTCTCTCTCTCTCTCTCCCCCCCATCGGAGGTGGGTGAATACTGGTGTGGGTCTGTTCTGGAGGGACTCTGGCCAGACTTAGGACTTCCCTATGAACATCTGGGGAGTAGAAGACCACGCCAAACTTCAGTGAGGAGGAAAAAAACATTAAACTAATCTTTAAACTTGAAAGATTAAGTTTAAAATTCCAGTAAACCAAATGTTTGGCGACTATGTCACATTTCAAATTTTAAAAACTGGGATGAAAAAAAAATGTTCCTGAGCTGGAATGGGGCCCCGGGCTAATTATGTGTCCTAGAGAACATCACGCTCATAAGCAATTTGTTTACATATTCAGGAGATGATGCAGAGGCTGAAGCAAAGAAGAAACACATACCTTTCATAAGGCTTTCATTAGGCTCTTTTCCTTTTCTCTCTGATGAAGTAATTTTGGAAATTATAGCTGAAATAATTGACTCAGGTTTTTTCCATAACTGATTGCATTCTAAAGATGGATTATAGACAAAAAAAAAAAAATCAGCGACGGTACCCAAACATAAGAAAGAGCTCACTTCCACATGTCTTCCGAGAGGGAGGGGATAAAAGCAACGTAAAATTGATCAGTGAGCACTGGCAAAATTATTTCCAAATCTAGACCACTAAGTCATAGGAAGGATGGATAAGAATACATTCTGAGATTTGAAGAACGCATAAAAAGGAAACTACAGTAGCATCCCCACCCCATAGGACTCAAATAAAAACCAAACACCTTTAAAGGCTCAACACGTCTTAATCTATATTTGTCATCCATTTGAGAAGAAACATGATCCACTGCCTATTTATATTGAGAATTGTCCTTGCTTGTTTTCACAACTGTCTGTGCACATGTCTGTCATCGATTGGTTGACAAAGATCACACTTCAGCCATTAAAAATTCAATCAAAAGAATGCTTCCCACAAATATATTTTATGCATTGATTGTGGGTGTTTGTTGATTCACAGTATTTATATACCACATAAGTGTGTGTGTGTGTGTGTATTTTAGTATGCACATATAATAGTATGTATAATATAAAATAAAATACTGTAATTTGCCTCTATTTTACATTCAGGAACTGATCCACCTTAACTAGGGCACTAGTTCCAATATCAATATTGGAAAGAGATAGGTTGACAGATGAGCAAAACCAATGAGAAGAAAAATCTGAGAATCTGACACTTCAACCATTCGTACTGATTTGCCTTTTCAGCTTGCCACCATTTTAGGAAGACAAACTCCAAGAAAGTTCAGCACGCTGCACTTCAAAAATACTTTCAGAAAGAAACCAAATGTAAGGTTTAAATATGGTTTTCAACCCAATGTTGCATCTTAAAGTACGGAAAATGGTTTTTTAAAATTCCAATAAAAACAAATTTGAAAATAAGGACAATTTTGAGGTGTAAAGAACGAAATAAACTTCAACTGCTGCCTCAATATGGGCCCAGACATGACCCACAGATCCCTCATGAAGCCAATCTTTTGAAGAATAGCTTTTCAACTAGCCAAGAGCAACTGGTGTGCAGAGCAGAATATCCCACTCACTATGAGACATCAAATGCACTCCAAATGGTTGCCAGTTGTCAGGAATCCCATTTAAAACTTCAAGCTCGCATATTTCCATCCATTAGATGCTGTGTTTCTTAATATAGATTTGAATAACAGTTAAAGGGAGAATGTTATAAATGCCTCTTTCAAGTATCTTCCCCTGCCTCACGCATGAGACCGCTAACTACTTTGTATGCCTGAAATAAACAAAGATCTGTGTCTGAAAAGCAGTTTCATTTCTCATGCTTAGTAACAAAAATCACTCTTGACTAGCACCTGTATAATTAACTTTCCCAGTGTTTAAACTGGGAGGTACCTTGTCTTAACAACAGATTTAAGGAGCTGCTCTTTGCCACTATGCAGTTGCTAGAACTGCAATCCATGTCCCATAGTTTCCTGTAATTTCTGACATAATAAATGTAACTAGCTTACCAGAATTGATACATAATGAAGACTATTTTTCTGCCTATTCTTGATGAAGAAGAGGATTTACAGTAGTCCGAAGCATTCCCACAAGCAATCTTTCTCACTAGTGTTCTCATGCTTCTGGCCCACCCAATAAAATACAACTCTAAGTCAACTTTAATATACCTTAAAGCAGGGGTGAAATCTAAATTTTTTTGCTACCGGTTCTGTGGGCGTGGCTTAATTAGTGGGTGGTGCTTAGTGGTCAGGTGACTGGGTGGGAGTGGCTTGTTGGTCAGCGTGGGCGTGGCCAAGTCGATGTCACTTTGTTGCCCTTTTTTAACCTACAAAACACAACACAACACAACTGGCTCACCCACAATGTAAAAGCAGCTGTGCTAGACCCAAAATGGCCCCTGCAACAAGCAGGAACCCCACACAGCCCCAAAAAGTCCAAAAAACCAACTTTCACACTTTACACACACACTCAGATGTCTTCTGCTTGTGTTCCCTTTATTTTTTTGAGCAATGTATAAAAGCAGCTAAATTTAAAACTTCCTAAACTTTAAATGGCTAGGTCTAAAAAAAGAATGACTAAAAAAAAACTATTATTAACTATTTTTTTTAAAGCTCCCAAAAGGGAAAAAAACTTACAGGCAGGCAGATAGAGCTGCTCACCGATGAGTTTGATTGCAGGCAGAGAGATTCAATTGCTTGCTGATGCAATGGATTGCAGGGATTACAGCAAGCGAAGCAAGGCAGGCGTTGCGACCAGCAGCTAAGGTAAGCAAGCTGGAGGCTGGGGGGGAAGGGATTTTTGCTACTGGTTCTCTGAACTGCCCACCGCCATCGCTACCTACTCGCCTGAGCCGGTCCAAACCAGGAGCATTTCACCCCTGCCTTAGAGATCTTTTTTGTCCCTGAAAATCATGTTCCATATAAAGGCGTTTTTATAATTCCTTCATTACTTTAGATCTATTGGTTGATGTCAACCATCACAGATATTCTCTATCACAACCATCACATTTATCTAAGGATAAATGTGTGCATATGACAAAAATGAACAAGCATGTATATTTCAACCAGTTCAAAAAAGGCAAGGGAAAACAAATATGTTAACCAAATCAATAACCACGTATTAAAACTAATTGTCTGTAAAGGTGTCCCATTTAAAAATTTTGTTTCTTCTTCCATTTCTTTTTCTTTCATATTGTGCTTTTATGGTGTAAGCCTAAAGACAAGGATTTTCTTACCTCTGTTCTTTGTAAGGTATGCTGGGAGTTTGGGAGGCTAAAGCTCTAGCATAAGCAAACTACAGAGCCATGATACAAATAAGTCAACTCAATATATGAGTTGCAAATTTTACCCAAACTTCAAGGCACAACAAACTGGTTACATAAAAGTACACAAAGTAAAATGCCAAGATGACCACTCAATTTACTAAAATTAAGTTGTATGTCAATGGGCACTTTCTTACTATGTCACATGCTAAGGGATATGCTTCTGTAAGAAAAAAAAAAAATCTAAGTCAACATCCTGAAAACCGTACAGTTCCCAACAAACCCAATAAAGCAGTGGTTGCAATAAGTCATTAAAAAGAACCCTTCGTTCTTTGCTTCCAGGAACATTGTATGTAGACACAACTCATCTTGCCGAAGCAGCAAAATCTCCCTAGCCAAAAAAGTGAAAGGAAGGAAATCTGTGCTTTGAAACTGTTCCAAAAGCACATCGCTCCTTGACAATGTTTCAGAGGAAACACATTGCTCCCATGCTCACTGAACTTTCTGATGCATGCCGGATAATATATTGACCCAAATAGCTCAACTGAGAGGAATCAAGCGTGAATCCTCACGCTTTCCATTACTAGTCAAGGTGGTTGTTAAATTAGTTGTGCCTGGTTTTATGACTTTTTGCCACAGCTGTTAAGCGAATCATGGCAGTTGCTAAATGAATCATGCAGTCATTAAGTAATTCAGCTTTCCCTTTGACTTTGCTTGTTGGATTCCGGCTGGGAAAGTCACAAATGGTGAACGCATGATCCCAGGATGCTGCAACTGTTATGAATACAAGCCAGTTGTCAAACACCAGAATTTTAATTGCGTGCCTGTGGGAATGCTACGAGAGTTGTAAGTGTGAGGACTGAGCGCTATGAGAGTTGTAAGTGTGAGGACTGGTTGTAGGTCACTTTTTTCAGTGCTATTATAATTTCAAACAGTTGCTAAATGAATAGTTGAGAGTCCAGGACTATCTGTACTAATGCCAACATGCAAAAAACAAAATGGAAAATACATAGCAGACTATAAGTGCACAGAAAAAAGCATGAGCAGCTACACTAGAGAATACCAGAGTCGGAAGAGACCTTGGAGGTCTTCTAGTCCAACTTCCTACTCAAGCAGGAGACCCTATACCAGTCAAGACAAATGACTCTTCAATCTCTTCTTAAAAGCTTCCAGTGTTGGAACACCCCAAATTTCTAGAGTCCAATTGTTCCTTTGATTTGTTTTGATTTGATTTGATTGAACGTCTATACCGCCCTTCTCCCAAAGGACTCGAGGCGGTGTACAGCCATATTAAAACACATATAAACTCACAAATTCATTCATTGATTCATTGTTCTCACCGACAGGAAATTTCTCCTTAGTTATAGGGTGGATCTCTCCTTAATAAGCTTCCTTCTCCATTGAGAGTGGAGACAGCAGCCAGCGTGGGTAGTGCCCATCCAATCAGCTTCAAGGACTGAGCCTGTCAATTTTTCTTAGTCCCGCCCTGTTGCTGGGCATGCCGTTTTTGGCTCAGTCCTTCAGCGCTGACTGGTGTGTGGGACTTCTCTCTGGCTAAAATTCTCCATTTATTTCCTTCTTATTGATTTTTTCGGCAAAATTGATCTTGGACTGTTTCGACTGTGCTCTAGCTATTCGATTTGGACACTGACTGCTTCTCTGGCTGACTTGGACTGTCCCGACATCGTGTTTGTGAGTTTGAATTAGGGAGTGATCTCCGTTAAGAGCGATCTCTCCTGGCTCTTCCAGGGGCGTGGGGACTCCTTGCCCTCGATCTCCTCAAGGGAGGGCTTTGGAACATTGGATCTCCGGGGGACAAGCCCTTCCGTTGCGCTCCCCTCGCCCCTCGTTACTTTCACTTTCGCCTCCGGCAACATCGGCGTTTCGGGAGGCTTCCCTGACCGGCGCCCACCATTTTGAATTATAAACTTTGCCGCCGTTGGGGGAGAGCAATACATAAACAGCTTGCCGAAACGCTCTCCTTTGCGGCCGCTCGCATTCCGCTGTTAAAATTGAGGCAAAGTGTGGTGGGCTGAGTGACTCTCTTGAGGAGCTTCGCGCCCCCTCCACTGGTTTTTTCTTACCGGTAAATGGGCCTGGCTAATAATTCGTGGCTAATCTATGCTAATTGCTGTTGCTGGCTGCGTGACCGCAGCTGAGGAGCTTTGCGCCCCCCTCCCCTCTTCCTATTCTGCAGTGGCCTTATTCTGGAGACTCCTCTCATTGATCCCAGTGGAGCTTCACGCCCCCTTGATCTGATGCAACACCTGTTGGTTTAGCCACTGACCACCATTAAAATTTAGTGGAGCTTCGCGCCCCCACCTGCGTGCTTGAATTATAACGGCCACAAGTCTGTGACCCTAATTTGTCGGAATTTTTGATAGATTCTTTCCTCGCCTACAGTAACGTTTCAGAGGCCTCTCCCCCCCCCACCATTGCCACCACTCCTCCCAGTTCGCGGAGTTTTTCTCAGATTCCACGTCTGTTACCCAGCAATCTGCCAGGGAAAATTCCAGGTCACATTCCAGGACTTCTCAACTGTCACGTTCCCATCACAAATCTTCCACACATGGCTTGTCTTCTTCTTCTTCTAAAGTGGAACAACGTAGAGACAACGTTTTGACCAGATTATGTGACAAGGCCTGCGCCCAGTTGCCTCCTCCCACTCTTCAACCACCTGTCCCTTCTAATCCACCCACAGTCCCTTTACCTCATTCTCCTACTCCTGACCAGCTATCTCTCCAAGATTGTCCAGTGACTATTTCCAAGGAAGATTTGTGGGGCCCTGACTCAGTTTCTCAACAGCCAGTCCCTGATCCAGCAATGGTACCGGAGACTCCTTCTTCTGATCCTGTACCTGTCTCTTCCTTGAATTCAGTCGTTCCTCCAGATCAGCTGCAACAAATGATTGAGGCGGCGGTTCTACGGTCCTTGGCCACCCGTTCGGGATTCTTCAGTCAACATGGATCGGTCAGAGAGACCTCTCCCTTTTCAGTGGACCATGGTGACGAAGGATGTTCACATTCAGTTCGATCCGCCTCCCCTACGTCATCTCACTACAGTCATCCTTCAGCCTTGATCGATGAAGGAGATCCTGATTCTGACCTGTCAGAAGATGAGAACCTTCCTCCAGATCAGCCTGCTTTCACAGGTC